CGAAATTTCATGAATTTTTATATTTTTATGTTAAAAAATATTTTCAGTATGTTGTTTTGATCTCAAGAAAAATTTCGACCGATTTAACATTTTTGAATTCTCGCGTACCATTATTGTTATGGCATGTGTGCTTATGATATTGCAAAGAACATAATATCGTTATTATAAGGTTACTAAGTTATATATCATTAGTTTCTCGATTGTTGTTTTCTAAACCCTACTAAATTATATTTATGGCAGTTAAATGAGCTAAATAGTTATATGATATTGTATATTATTATATGTATAAATGCCAAAAACCATTCCTTTTATATAATTTATTATTCTTTATACATTCTTAAAATTGTCACAAAAGAATTTTATAACAATATTGAATAAATGCTTGTTGAAATGCAGCAATAAATATTGTAATGGAAAATAATAACAGAATGTATATGTACATGGATGTCCTTACAAATCTTTAATTTAAATTTATTCCTTAGAACATTAGAATATTATACACAAATAATATAAACAAATAATATAAACAAATAGTTTCAACTTTAAATTCGTTTTCATAATATACAGGTCTGGGCGGGATGTGTGGTACAACCGGGTAGAGGATGATTCTACATGTAAAAATAAAACGATAATATAGAATAACATTTTTTCATAAAAGTTGTTTTCGAGAAAATTGAATTTAAAAATTCGTCGAGTACACGTACATTCGATTATCTTTCGGTTTTATGTTTATACTAATACGCGATGCCAATGTCATGATAAATACCGATACATCTATTAACAATTTTCTTAATTTATATTTACACGTAGAATCACCCTTTGCTCTGTTGTACCACTCGTTCCGTCACACCAAGTGTGACTGGCCTACAAAGAGCAAAACAAATTTACTAACTTAAATATATATATACACTGTACATTAATATCTTTAAAGTATGTGATATGTAATCTCACTACTTACGTTATTAGGACAAGTTAATCTATTATTTGCGTGTATATTATAATTTTGATTTGTATTAGTTATAATAAATACGTATAATTACTTTGAACAGTTAATGGTACACAAATCATTCATTTTACAATGTTTAATATTTTATTAAATTATATTACTGTAACTGAATGATAAATTTTGAGGTACTGTTTTATGGCTTTATACATATTTATTTATTGTGTTATACGCATATTATGACAAGTTATTTTTATTATTAAAATTTGTTTTATGATTTATGTTTTTACTTATTTATGGAAAGTATTTTTTTCATGTTCAGTCACCGACATTAATTTTCTCTTGCAATATTTGATAATAACAGGCCTAAAAAAGTAATATGTTGATTAAACCTTTGAATTTTAAATAAGTTTTTAAGAAATATGATATCTAACCTTAAGAGTGGTGAACATAATTCCAAGTTCTCCATTTTGTAAGTAGGGTTCCATGAAATCTTCCATAAAATGTATTTCACTACCCAGTTGTAATACACTGGCACGTACAACAACAAAACAAAAAACAGGAAGTAATTCATCCATTGTCCACAAATACGTAGTACCTAATTGCTTTTGAACTGCCTATTATAAAAAATATATAAAATTTAATAAAAAGATAATTACATATACTACAAAAGTCTAACTTACTTGTGTCATTTGTTCAAATGTATTCCTAACAACTAATAATTTTTCTAATGGCGAGAACGTGGTTTTCAATTGTTGTAATGTTTCTATAGCCTCACTGAAATATGGCTCACTTGGATAGGGTAACGTACTTTCGTTTAGGTTTATTACGTTTGCGTTTTTCCAAAATTTTCTGAAATTTCATTAGTTTTCAAAAATTTAATTACTCGTAAATAAATTTAACAATTACTATCTTGCTATTTCTAAAGGAATTACATACTGATCGATGCCTAAAAATGCCATTAGTGTTATATCAGGTTGCTTGTTCCATTTCATTAATCTTTCCCAATAGGCATCATCTTCTTTTTTATTATGTAAAGCATATAGTACAAAAAGCGCTGAATGTACACGAGGTAATAATATTGGATGAAGTATTGCTGCAGCGCTTATAACTTGACTAATAAAGTAAATTAAAATAAAGAAACATAATACTATTATAAATATGCTAAGTAAATGGTGATAAATTATGTAAATAATTAAAATGCAAAACATACGCTTCCTCTTCATTTTCTGTTTCCAATACGTGTTCCTTTCCACCGCGTGGTAACGCCGGAAATAATAGAGTGACTATTTCATATATTCTTGAAGTAATACTATGAAGTTCGGATACAGCATGGCTAAGTAGCAAAGGATGGACTCTTACACCACCATAAGTAGCTGTGTACACAGCAGCAACTTCTGTTAAAAGTGTTCCTAGTGGATGATGTGAGCTCTCAAATGCTTTAATTAAATATTTATGAATTTCATGGTAGCTCTGTACAGTGAGTTTGTTTCTTCCAAAACAAGGAATTTTGTCTAACTCGTCAATGATTTCGTTATTTCTTTCCTTACTAGTGGGAGTATTTGTCAAAAGTTTTTTTCGTTCTAAAGACTTTTGGTGTGACTTAGTTATTAGGCTAGCAACATTTTGCCATGCACGTTGTGTTTCCACAGATTTGTCAGTTGCACCCAAAGGTTTCATACCTGGTTCAGATACACCAAGTTGTTGATAACATTGTCTAAATATGGCTTTCCATTTTTGATCTGCTGAGACACATAATTTGCCAAACGACCTATATAGAAGAAAAAAGAATACATTTAAAACTAAGTTAGAACAACTGAGTCCATAAATCACTTACGTCGGTTTCGAATTAGTTTGTGCTTTTTCATTAGCTTTATTCATGTGCAGTGTTGCAATAACCTTTACACCTTCATTCCAAGCACCATTCATATTGCCTTCTAATCGATCACCACTTCTAAATGTTAATGTACCCTTGCCATAAAAAATACCAGCCGATTTAAATTCACCTTCATAGTGAGTACCATCTTCAAACACCATTACTCCATGGCCCTTTAATCAGAAGTATTTATTTTAATTTTTTAATATACAATACATATACACATAAAAATTGCGAAAATACTTAAGTATTTACTGTTAAAACATCTTGCATAAAAACCCCTTCATAATAAATACCATCCAGTGTTACAATTAAACCACAACCGTGTTTCATACCATTACTCCATGATCCTAAATATTTTTCACCTGAAATAACATACTGTTCATTTAAAACCTATTTTAAAATTTTTAATTTTACTATAAAAATGTAAATTATCTCCTTTTTCTAATCGTACTATGAAGATATACCTGCCATGATGTCATCCATAATTCCATATCCCTGTTTAACACCTGCAGCCCATTCTCCAATATAAATAGATGCTACAGATGCCATAAAGTGACCCTCCTTTTTAACACCATGACCATGTGGAAATCCATCTTTAAAGTATCCTTCATAAAAATCTCCATTATTATATCTAAAATATTTTACATTCCACTTTAAATATTACATGTTGTATATAAGTTGATAATTAAAATGTTAACAATCACTCAAAAACTAACTTCATTGTTCCATATCCATTCTGTTGACCATCTTTCCACTGCCCTTCATATACACCCTGTGATGGATATTCCATTTTACCACTACCATGAATAACACCTTTGTGAAATTGTCCTACATATTTACGCCCATCATTCCACTCTAATTTTCCAGAACCATGTGGTTTACCACTTAGCCATCGACCTATGGATCAAAGTGAGAAAAACATTATTTTTCTTATACAAGGTGTTCACCAACTAATGAGAGAAATTTTAAGAAGTAATTGTACAAGCCAAAGTAAAATGAAAATCAAGAATAATGAAATTGCACTTGAGACTTTGTGTTTTAGTTACAAGCAGTTAAAAAATACACACTGGTCGGTGTAGAGCAGGTCAGAAGACGAGGGTACAGTAGACTCTCTCTTAACTGGTCCCTATAGGATCGGATTCCTGGCCGGATAAACGAATGGCCAGTTAATCCAAAAATATATACAAAATATCATTTATAGCTTATAAATAAAATAAAAAGCATATATGTTTATTATTTACATATGAAATGTAAATATAATATATAAAATTGTATATTTATGACAACTGACTGTAATCCAAATACAGTTAAAAAATTATAGGATCATTACAGTGCACTGTATCATTCCTACAATCTTTTGCCACGTTCTGTATACGGGTAAAACATTAGATTTTGGATAGAACGATAAAAAATGATAAAAAAAAATTGGATTACAATATTCGACTGAAAACTCGAACCCGAGTTAAATTCTCTACACTTTTAGCTTTTTTCTTTTATTTTATATCAAAATTCGTTCGATTGAAGTTTCCTTTATTATAAATACTATGAACCACAAATGAGTGATGTGACACCGAATTAGTTGAGCCTCCTGGCGAAAATGTGACTGATTAAACCAGAACCCAATAAGAGGGAGTCTATGGTATATACCGTCACCGTTTTCTTTCCGTAACTATTTTGAAGTAAACTGCTAGCCGTGCATCATTGTTTTCGGCGGTGACGATACTCTCGTCTCAAAGTTATCAAAATTATCACTATAATAATATCATCAATATATTACACCTATGAGAAATTTATCATTTATATTATAATTTTTAAATATGAAAAACAATAGAAAATATGTGATATATATTATTATTGTTAATGATTTACAAACCAGTATACTTTGCATCTTTGAAAACACTGTGCTTTGTGAAAGTGTATGAGCTAGAACGTACTATTGGAGGTACATGCCCAATGACCCTTTGTAAGCTAGACTTTATAGCATTTTGCAAAACACACAGCCATTCATTGCGCTCAGAAGGTGTTGGAGTATATAAGACAAATGTATCTTCTGGAGCTACTATTGATATAGCATTCTGAAACATAAATGTACAAATACAAAAGTTTATATTAT